ACTAGGTTTCTATGTACAAAGGTAAAATAGATAGTTATAGTAATAGATATCTGCCAGCCAAGGGTAGTGTATACTTGTTTCCTGTCAGAAACTAGAGTTCTTTCGAACTTTTGAGTTCAATCGTGGAAATGTGTTCTTATTTCAGGTTGATGGAAGAAAGAAAGAGAATCTTGACACTTGGTTTTCAGATGAATCACAACCATTCAATATGTATTCAACCCATTCATCAATTGTAAAGGTAAAACTCAATGGCTTTAAACGTATGTGATTTCAATGAAGTTCTTTCTGGCTTGATTGTGAGAAAGTGATACATTGATTTCTGTCTGCTTACACATTGATCTGCACTGTCTATGGTAAAGTTTGGTCATTGCATCGAAACTTTTATCATAAAACCAGTAGAAGATTGTTTGACACTCCTCACTTCATGTCATATATCATGTTCTCCTTATTATTGTAACTATTGTTATTATGTCGTTTCTGTCTTGAGTGTGATTTCAAATGATTCTTAGGGACTATTCACTGATTTATTTCAACACTTAATCATAATTCAGGTTTACAGAGCCGTACATCATTGGAAATGAAGCCTCATAACATTTGTAAACAAGCAGGACACTTGGAATATAAAAATCATCCTTTAATTTCATAAGATTTATCTTTAAACTATTTTTGTTGGAGTTAGAATTTAAAGTCTGACCCTACTCACCCTACGTAACTCCATTATCATTTAAGCTAAGGCTTGTGGTGAAATTAAATTGAACTTGTTAGACTACCACTGTACCCAAAAGCTTAACCTGCTATGGGATAGGCCGACAATATATATCAAGCGAACAGGCTCCCTCACAAGCAGTCTCATCACGTGGAGAATTATATACATCATACATGCAAGAAGAAAAACATTGTGCAGCCTATCTGATACTGCATATAATTAACAAATAATTGGGAAATGGAGCTGAGTAGATTCAACCCCAGGTCCTCTTCGAACGAAAGCTCTGAAACAATATTAGACTACCATTACAGACCAAAAACATAAGCTGGTACGAAATTGGCTAAATCTGTAGGTTAAACTAACAAAAATTGTCTCAACATCCTGCAGATTTGTTCCATCCTATGCTTTTTCCTTCAATACTTATATGCAGTTGTAAGATCTTATTAGTGAGATTTTAATCTCTGTTATATATGCAGTCCTGATACATATAATGCTATTATCGTTATTCAAGTGACAATCTGCAGTAAATTATTGCCTGTCGCATAGATAACTGAGGAGTTCATATCAAACATCCGATTTTAAATTGATTGCTACCACTTTTCCCTGTTCGAAATAATGAATCTAAAAGTATTTTTGCAGGCAATATTATGTGCAGGTTTATATCCCAATATTGCAGCCACTGGGAAAGGCATTGCTGAAGCAACTCTTACTAACCTTAAACAATCTGCCAGTCTGGCAACTAAGGAACGTCCAATCTGGTATGATGGAAGAAGAGAAGTTAACATACACCCTTCTTCTATCAACAGTACTTTAAAAGAATTTCAGTACCCCTTCATTGTCTTCCTTGAAAAGGTTTGTGCACTGTTACTTGTTTACCTTTTCTCACAACAATACGATGATGGTGATGACAACAGCAACAAAAGGAATAAACTAATAATTAATATTTCATCCCCTTGTCTCTCACTAAGAATTACCAACTGCAAAAGATGGAGTAGAATAAAGAAACAACTATTTACCGTGTGCTGTGGTTGCAGATAGGAAAATAATATTTTTTGCCGCATACCTTTCTAATTTCTCTATTAAGTGTAGTGGCACACAGTAGAGATAGATATAGAAAGTTATGGATTGATGCAAAGTTATTACATAACTTCGGAACTTTTATTGTTCAGCCTACTAATTCATTATTCTTAGGATGTCAGTTTAATATATCTTATTCACAGGTCGAAACAAACAAAGTATTTCTCCGAGATACAACAGTCATTTCTCCCAACTCTATTTTGTTGTTTGGTGGCTCCATCAACATCCAGCATCAGGTATCTTTTTTATTTTTCATGTCCTCCGAGTATAAAATATGTGCATTTCAAAGCCATGCATTTGAAACGTGTGCATCTGAAATGTAAATGCTGCCAACTGTTGTCAGTTGATAGGCAAGTGTTCTTTCTGACCTTGTCTAATAACATAGTCTTCTTGTCTATTTTATGCATTTGTCTAATTGAACCAAAGTATAAATGGCCAAGTGATCCTTGTTCAAAGAAGTCCTGGCTTCTATAATCCAATAAATAATCATTCAGAAAAAGTCCTGCCAAACATTCCCTTTGTTTTAACTTTTAATAACCACCTATCAAAAGAGAGTAAAAGAAACAGAAAAAGAAAAGGAAGGGTGCAAAAAACAAAGCAGTACCGTTAGGCATTTGTATGGCTGGCTTTTCTCTAACCGTTTTATCTACTTGAAGGGAAGTTTATGCCTACATCCTCTGAGGAAGTGATGTGCATAATTTGTTAACTATTGTATCAGGTTGTTTAACACGACATTTACAGTTTGTGCTTGATGATTTTGATGTGTTCATGTGGATCTGTCTTCGTATTCCAATTCTTACTCCTAGTTCTTGGCTATCATTATTAGGTTGCAGAAGAATTAATACATTTGCTACAAAATGAAGCATAAGCAGACCCAGTTATTGTGTTATATATTGATGTTTCTTCTTGCAGACTGGACTTGTTATTGTTGATGGATGGTTAAAACTGACGGCACCAGCACAAACTGCTGTCCTGTTCAAGGAACTCCGATTAACTCTTCATTCCGTTCTGAAGGAATTGATAAGAAAGCCAGAGGTAACTTTCATGTTGCTTCTAAGTTGCAATAATTTTTGACTTGTCAGTTGCTACAAATGTATCCTTAGCTTATTTATATCTTGTCGTGTCGTTACTTTTAACTTGTCTCTAACATGCTTCTCTGATGCATCAAGAATGAGTTGTATGTCTGCAGCTGGATTTCAATGTCCCATGATACCAAAAACGCATTTCTCTAAAGTCAAGTCATAGCATCAATTTAGTTTGATTTATGCTATTGTATATTTATTATTGTAAAACAGTTGATCTTAGAGCTGCTGCCCTTGAAGTGCTTCTTCTGTTAACCAGAATATTTTTGGCATCTCATTCTTTGTTATTTTGCGTGAGACAGATGTCAACCTATAATGATTTGTTTTTGCATTTTAAACTGTTTCTCAGAACTCCACCGTTGCTTATAACGAGGTTTTAAGGTCTATTATCCATTTGTTGTTAGAAGAAGATAAGCCCCCACAGTAATATGTTGACAGCAAGGTATGTCTTAATGTCCTTTCTTCAAACAGTTGATCGATCGTAGATACACTGTTGGGATACGTGCTTTTCTCTTCATGATTTTGTGGCTAATTCTTTTCTGATTTGCACAAGGAGTGTGCTTGACTGCTCGTCACTCAAGTAGTCAAATGTGTGTCCTTTAGCACTTTGTCGATGTTTGGTGTTCCCATCCTATTCGGCGGGTATTCACTGCATCTCTGGGTTTATGCATCATTGCAAGGTTGGTTCTTTAAGGACAAAGAATCTGTTAATTGACCTTAAATGTCTGGCTGAATATTATGCTCAATAGTCATTCAGACAAGGAATGTTGCCGTCGACTTTGACGAAGTGTTAGGCTTTACTCTTATTATATGAACAGGTTGATTTCATTTTTGTTCCCTCCTATATATACTGTATGTAATGTGCTAATATGGTTGTAGTCAACGGTAGCTGATTTGGCCTTGACTAGGGCCAACACAGGAAAATTCAATTTTATATGTAAAAGTCACCTTTGGCCTTAACTAGTTATTGTCGAATGTAATGATAATTTGCCACATAAACTTGCCATTTCTTCTCGAAGATGTTCCTTCTCTGCACTTGGGACATTTACTGCTTCCATTGTAGTGTTTTTGGATGGAAAAAGGAGCGTGTCTTATCAATGGATAATTCTGGGAATATTTCATTTTTACCGAATACGTCCAAAACGTTATTTTAAATGTTTGAATTCTTGGCGTGTAACAAAATTTATTAATAAATAAGTAAATAAATGTGGTCGAGTGAATAAATGGGTAGAGCCCTAATTATGGTTCCAATTATACGGAAATAAAAGGTAACAAGCTTCTGTTATGAACACATGGGTCTAAGATTCGTACCTCTATGGCACCTTAGTAATATGTGTGAGAATGCCCCTATTCCTTCCTAACTTTGGCCAATAAAAATAAAAATACAAACAAACTCAATAAATTGAGATTACAAACAAAAATTAACTCAAAAGAAAAATAAAGGTGAAATTATGAAGTTATAACAATTATTTAAATAATTAATAAATTTGGGATATATAATTTTGGGACAAGTGATAATTTAAACTATACGGGAAGGGGGTTTCTCACCACGCTACTAATGCCACAGGGGTTCGAGTATGAGACCGCTAATCTACAAATCAAGTCCCTTTTTCACTAGATTAGACCCTATTGACAAAAGTGTCACATATTTGCGTATACATGAATAATTGTATTTGAGTTTGGCATTTTTAGAATTGTAGGTGGTGAGGTGATCATCAATCCCATTTAGTATAGGCGGATTTTTAAAGATTCGAATCTTCTGCTATGATTTTCTTTATATGCTTGACTTTCATTCTTCACATGTCCTCTCATTTTACAAAAAAAAGTAAAAAATTTGAAGTTATAACAATTATTTAAATAATTAATAAAACTGGGGATTTAAATTTTGAGATTGCCAGATTAGGGAAAAAAACTCACATACTTATATACATGAATAATTGCATTTTAGTTTGACATTTTTTTTTTAGTAGTGGAGGTGGTGAGGTCATGATCAATTCGATTCGGTATAGGTCGGTTTTCAAATCATTATTTTGCGGTTCAATTTTATGGTCAACCAAACCAAAGAGTCTACTACAATTCGGATTGGCCGGTTTGATCAGTTGGACCGGATTGCACTCCCTCGTATTTTTTTTTTTACAATAATAAAAAAATTCTAGTTATTTGATTCCTCTTTCGTTTCTAACTCGCGCACACTTCGTCCCTTCCCTTCCTTCATGTAGGCTCTGCAGCAGCAACAGCTACCAGCAAGCAGCAGCATGGCCTCACTCTCTCTCCTTCCTCTCCTCTCTCTCTTCCTCTCCCTCTTCCTCTTCTCCCATCTCTCCTTCTCTCCCACCGTCGTCTTCGCCGTCTCAGCCCTTCCCAAACACCCCTCACCACCACCCCCTCCCAGCCCGACTCGCCTCCCTCCCCGGATCCCTCCCAACCCGACCCGGATCCCAACCCGACCCCCAATTTGGACCCTCCGCCCACCGATCTTCCCAAACCCTCCTCCACCAGCTTCGAGTATTGGGACGAGGACGAGTTCGAAGGCCTGCCCATCCAACCTGAGCAACCACTTCAACAACCGCCCCTCGACGACCCGAAAATTACCGAAAATGCCACTCCCTCCTCCGATTCCGATCCCAAACCCTCCGGCGACCCCAAACCCCCTGCCGCAACTAGATCGTTCGTCGTGGAGATTGCGTGCGGAGGGTTCCTGATCGTCTTCGCTATCAACTACTTCACGGGAAAGCGGGTGAACGAGAACATCGCCCTAGCTTGGGCTGCGAAATTCGCGACGAAAGACTCGATCTTCGAGAAGAATTTCAGCCTTTTGGGCGTCGGAGACGGCGACGACTCGCCGTTGCTGTTAAAGGAAGGGCAGAACGTGTTCAAGTTCTACGCAAGTGGGCGGAGATGCTGCCAGGGACTTTTGGCGACGATGGAGCTCAAGAGCCGCCACGATTTGATCTCCTCCATTTTCAACTTGGTGGTGCCGAGTAGGGACGAGATCAATCTCGAGGTTTATATGAATGATGATGCGATGGACCACGTGGTTTTCGCCGTGGCGAGGAAGAAGTCGGCCAAAGCAATGCAGAAGGAGGTTCCCGACTTGCAGAAGTTTGCCGGGATCCTGTCGCCGCCCACTGGAAGGAAGTGGGTTGCTGAGGACTTGGCTGTTATCTCGGAGTCGAAGGAGGTAGCTGGGGATTTGATCACCGAGGCTGTGCTTGATCAGGTTGGTTTATTTTCTTATTCATGGCAAATTTGTTATGGTTTTTTTATTAATCTGGTTTATCCTTGCGTTTAGATGTTATTTGGTTTGAGTGGTTATTGTTTAATTTGGGCTTTGCACTCTTACTTGCTTGCAATGAGTGTGCTTTCAAGTGTTTAGTTTTCTTGATAGTATGAACTGCATTCGATAAAATTATTATGTGTTTGAATATATTGGGTAGGCTGTATATGCACATATATACAGGTAATAATAAGATTCTGTTTTACTGCAATGATAATGCTGAAGACCATATAAACTGCAAAACTGAAGAATCACAAACAACTTATGCTTATTATAACAGTTGTTTTTGGGTTCCTTGTGAATGGCCAACCATAGGATTGAAGGCCCATGATAGGCCACTATCCTGAGTATTTCGCATGTATGGGGTGGTCGCGGGTTAGTTGAGTCCTTAATTCTTATCTACTGTTCAGTTCATGAACTCAGTTGTTAGTGTTAAGTGTTAATGTCTCTAACTAGTGGTAGTTATTGTTATATTTGTATGTATATATATATATATATTTTATTCGTTTGGCCCAGTTCATTAGGCCAATGATTGATTACTCTCTATCTGATTACATTTACAGTTTTCTTTGTCAGTGATTTTGTAAATTGTTTAAGGATTTTCGACCATTTTGCCCTGTTTGTCGGGCTTTAATGTGTTGTCTGGCCATGAGTGAATGAACTCTGTTTTAGATTGCTCTCATGTTGATGCCTACTTTTAATAGAAGTGTGCTCTGAACTAAATGTTTTATGCATTATGTGTGGGAATGCATAACTGTTGCAGAATCTCTGGATAGGTATTATTTCTCCTTTAAGGTTTGATATCGTAATTAGTACCGATGAAGGTGGAATTTGTTTTGTTGAGTCAATTATGGTGGCTGAGAATTATGTAATGCGGATGAGAAAGTTGTATTACTTTTGCATTACTCTCACAGAGTGTTGGATTAAAAGATGGTATCTAAGCCAACCTTTCAATATAATGGGGGCACAAACTGGGTGCTTGTATAAGTGTGATCTGCTGGCGTTTCCAAAATCGGATCAATCTTTTTAATCTAGCGGCAGATGAGAGATGCGCAAGTAATGTGCAAACTCTTATATGTCTTAGAGAAATTCTGTTTGGTTGTTAGTCACATTATGCTTTGTTATTACTTGCAACTTTTGTTTGTAATGTGGGGTGCATTCCTCATGGGCCTTTGTAGGAGAGGCTGTGAGAATGATAAAACACCTTTCCTCTATCATAATTGCTATGGAAAAGTGCTGTTCTTTATTTATTCTTCTCTCGTAATCAAATTTGTTTTAGTTCTCTCTCTCTCTCTCTCTCTTATGTCACTGCTGGTTTGCACTTAACAGGTTTCAAATCAAAGAAGAAGATAATACTCTAGGAACAAAATAAGCCCCAGTCATTTTCCCCTTTAATGAGTCAATCCCCTCTCTTATCATAGTTTTAGCCTAAGATCCAATTCGATCTTCCTGATTTCTAGGAGATTGAACCTGGATCCACTTTGAATCCATATTTGAGTCTTGATCCGGCAAGATTACAGGGCAGGGCAGGGCAGGGCGCTCTAGGTGCCCTAATTAGCCAGTTCAATCCCATACCTAGATGCAATTGGGAAGAAAGGAGTGTTGCATATTTTCTCGGTCCTTTTATCATTAGGTTTTCTTGTGCACTGATTGACTTCTGTATATTTTCTCGGTCCTTTTATCATTATGTATCGCATGATCAGGTTGCTGGGGAATTTAAAATCTTATTCAACCATTTAACCAGAACATCCAAGTTCATTATGCTTCTTAGCCCTATAACATTGTGCCTCTTAAGTCCCAATTCCGTCTGAGTTGTCCATTCTGTTTCTTGATTCCCTAACATTTACCTTTTGATGTGTGGTTTCTTGATTAGCTGTTACATTTCTTTCCATTCATTCATTGTTTAGACATTGTGTTGTTGATTCTAGACTTATACAATATTTGTTGGATCAATCAGAGAGTCGGCAGAAATATTTGATACATCTGGTATTTGCAGGTTTTTGGTGAGAAAGCTTTTCAGAAATTCGGAAAGGGGTTCGTCTACATGCATTTTTCAGATCAACATCCAGGGACACACAAGAAGATGCTTTTGTTCAAGTTTGCCCTACCAGATGCCAGTAACATGGCGGATATGACTCGTTTGGTGGCTCTGGTACCTTATTATATTGATTTGATTGGGCGCTACAAACTAAGTAGTCAGGTTGGTCAGCTTCCAGTTATATTGTGGAATCAAAGTTTAGAACAAAAGTTGCCATTTGGTCTAATTTCTAATTCTGAAATGTTCTAATGCAGGCTCGATCAAAAACAGAAGCAATCAGATCAAAGGCTGCTCAAGAGGCTTACAAGGAACTCCAAAATGCTAGGCAAGAGGCCTTGCAAAGAAAGAAGGCAGAGAGGAAAAAGATGATGGAGGAGGCTGAGGCTAAGCTCAGCGCAGAGAGTATTCGCAAGAAAGAAGCAAAAGAGCGAGCTCGTCAGATGAAGAAAGCAATGCCGAAAATAAAAATGACCCGTGCTAGTTGATTCTTGAATTTTACTTGTCATTGGTTCCTCTTCCTCCTCATCTTCTATTTAATATCCTTGTGATATTTAGCTGAGTCTTGCCTGCCATAAGTTTTGGTTCCGCACCCTTGCAGCCTTGTACTTTTAATTGTCTGAACAAGTTTGCCTCTAACGTTATCACATCAATAGGTTTTGAATGTACCAAAACTCAATGCCGCAAAACTCCCAGCATTTCTTTGTTGACATTTTTCGGAGCCACTCATCTTTGTGGGTTAACAGTGTACCCAAGTTCATTGCTGCAGACTCTTACGAAGGTCTTTCTTTACTGAAAATGTTCATTTCTGCACTCAAATGCTGATGGTGGCAAACAGAGACCGACGACCAAAATTTGAGATAATTTTGTGTCAAATTTCCTGCTACGAGGGAAGAAGAATAACTGGATTGATTTGATGTTATCATCCCTTTCCCAGCACAAAAAACAAATAAACTCAAAAAATTGAAATCAATCAAACTGCAAACCACCAACGTTCTACAAAGGAGAGTGCTCTCGGGGTGCAGTTCAAATGGGCGTCAAATATGGGTAATTTGAAGGTGGACCTACGTATGCTCCTTTCCTTTTCTCACATGGGTGCATTTTTGCTCACCACTTTAATCATAGGTGGCTCCTCACCACCATCCTCAATGCTTGACATGTGTCCATAGACATAATCATGATTCCATAAATACAAAGCAAAAGTTAACTATGGTTATATCTATGGATACGTGTCAAGCATTGAGGATAGTGGTGAGGGTACACCTATGGTTAAAGTGGTGAGCAAAAATGCTCCCTTTCTCACATTATGATATTTATGAGGTATTGTTGCGCGGCTATACTTTTGAAACCCTTGAATATACTTTTGAAAATTTCTATTTACAAAGTATAGCCCGGCTAGACTGTTGAAAATTCTATTTATGGCATATAGCCGTGCGGCTATAGAGATTTGTTTTAAAAATAAATATAAACTTAGTATCTTTAGGTCAATAGATTTTTTTTTTAAAAAAAACCTTTCTTTTTATTAATTGAATCATATCTTAGCCTTATTTAATTACTTTCATAAATAATTATGTTTTAATTATTATTTCTTTAGTGAATAATTAGTATCAAATATTTTAATTAACTTCACAAATTATATTAATTAATAAATAGTAATTAATTTTTTTTAATTTAATAAAATATTTAAATACTAATTATTCATTAGGTAAATAATAATTAAAACATAACTACTAATTAAAGTAATTAAAAAAGAGAAAACCACATTATGATATTAACAGAGTTTAGCCACGCGGCTATACTCTGTAAATAGAATTTTCATAAGTATAGCCGCGCGGCTATATGCTGTAAATAGATTTGAAGTGTAGCGGCCCGGCTATACTCTGTAAATAGAAATTTTCAAATGTATACTCGCTCGGCTGTACGCTGTAAATAGATTTGAAGTATAGCCGCGCGGCTTTACGCTGTAAATAGAAATTTCCAAAAGTATAGCCGCGCATCTCTACCCTAAAAATATCATAATGTGAATAATTAGCATTTTTGCTCACCCATTTAAAGGGTGCATACTCACCAGTCACCACCACTGAAGCTTGACACATGTCCCCTAGTTAACTTTTATATGTAAATTTTAAAAAGAAATCGAAAAAGAGCCCACAGCCCGATTCTCTCCCCCTTTGTCCTCCTTTGCTTTTTTTTTTTTTAATAAAAAATTTATTTCCTCCTCCTCCCCTGACCCTTCTCTCTCTTCTCTGTTCTCTCCTCTTTCCCTCACTCACTCTGTATCTCTTTCTTCCTCTGTCTAAATTTTGATTACAGAGTCCTTCATGGTTGATCTTATTGAGGTTAAGCTTTTTGTGATCTTAGTATGATTAGATTGATCAATGAAATTTAAATGCAGATTAGTTCATATAATTAGGAACCAACGTAAATCAAGTAAATATGTAATTGCTAATCGAATACTATAAAGAAGTTGCATATGGATTTCAAACTGGAAACAAAATACAAAAGCTTCGCTGTACTAATGGAGTCTCCAATTTCCTTCCACGATACTAATAGTAATTAATTATTAAATTGAAAAATTAAATATGATTACAAGAAAAGAAAAATTGCAATACAGCTGATGATGAAGAAAAAAAAATTAAAGGCGGATTCTGGAAATCCGAATGGAAATATTCAGGCGGAGAGTGGGGAAGAGGAGGAGAGAGAAGAGAAGAGAAGAGTCGGGGAAGGAGGAGGAAAGAAATAATATTACAAAAAAGGAAAGGAGAAAAAAGGGGGAGAGAATCAGGATGTGTGCTGGGCTGTGGGCTCTTTTACATTTTTTTATTTTAAATTTTCATATAAAAGTTAACTAAGTTTAACCATAGAACATGTGTCAAGTTTTAAAAGTAGTGGTGAGTATACACTTAAGTTCAAGTGGTGAGCAGAAATTTTCCCTTCTCTATAATGTTGCTCCCTAAAATCCCTCAGAAATTTCCTTGCTCCTAATATCACGTGCAATAATAGTACACCGACTTGCATTCATGTATGGGGTCCCTTTTTCGTAAATGAAATTAACTAGGAATAATTTAGACTATCACTTGTAAAAAAAATATCACTAATTATTCCAACTTTCCATTAGCAATTTATGTGCGACATAAAATGATAGTTCCTTAGTTAATGGTTATGAATAATGGAATGATAGTTTTTAAGTGTTACTTTTCTTTGTTCCTAATAGTGGAAGATGTTTCAAATTTGAATTCGCAATTCTAAAGATGTCCTAAATTTGAATCCGCAATTCTAAGTAATTAGAAACAGAAGAAAATAAATGAGATTCAAAACGACTCAAATGAAATATGGCCCTTTAAATTTTTGAATAGTTCAAACTATTTGGCCTTGGTTGGCGTAAACGAAACTCCAATGTGTTGTGTTTTTTTTGGTAACATCTTTTGGACAAGAGACTCGAGCATCGCCCATTTTGAACTCCCCTAGACAGAAATAGTTACCACCGCCACCGGACCAATCAAACTGGAAAGAAGCATAAAAAACCGTACCCCCTTTTTATCTTTCTTTTTTATTTACGGGCCCACCTTGAACACCAGTAAAATATAGAAACCATATCAATTCCGTCACTGCAACTCCGAAGCTCAACATGTCTCTCTCCCTCTCTCTGTCTATGAAATAAAACCCAAAAAAAAATGCTTGATGGCAACGAAGAGCCCTCGAAGCCCAACAAGGCCGAGAGCCCACCACAGCTCAAGAAATCCCGGACCGTCATCACCACCGCCACTGACGACGCGGGACCCACAACCCCAATTTTCCCAGGCCCACTCTTTCCCGCTGTCCGACGCATCTCCACCGCCGTTGCCTCCCGCCAGTGGCCGCCGCCCGATCGCCGCGCCTCCAATGCTGCCGCGGACCACCGAGACTTCTCCGACCGCGACTGGGTCTTCCCTTCCTTCGTCGTCCCACAGAACACTTCCAAACGCGGCAAGAAGCTCGCCTCCTCTGATTCGCGTACGGCTGCGGCGCATGGTAGGCTTGTCGACGCGTCGCACCGGATCGCGTCCCAGTCTCCGCCTGCTGCATCGGTGCCGAAGCCGGAGGCTGAGAGGAAGAAATTGAAGGTGGTGCCAAGTGGAGCTCCGGCCTCTTCTTCGAGTGAGTTGGCTCGGCCAATTTCGAGGCGGCCTGGGGAACGTAAACGTTATTTGTTACTAGTTGTGGTAAGCCATTTGATTCATTTTCAGAATTTGCATCAATTTTCGTTCTCTCTAACTTAACTCAGCTGAGCTCAACTACTAGATTTTCTGATTTCTGTTGAAACGAATGTAGGCTTTTGTAATATCTACGATACCGTTTTTCAACTTCCCCTAGATTCTAGGAAACAAATGCTTTAAAAACAACGTTTTTTATGTTCTCATATACTACTATTTTTAGGGGAAAAAAATGCATATCCACAATTCTATACTAATTTATGTTGAAGTTTACGTATGTATAAGGTTTTCAATCGGTTGAATGAGCTACTTAAAATAACATAATGCTAATTTATTTATGACCCAAGTCCTTCCAACAAAAAAGAGAGAAAAAAAAAAACTTTAGTCCTTGCAATCACACTGTTCCCATTTATGCTGCAGTTGTATGTTCGTTTCATCTGCTGTTTACGGAAAGAAGCTGTTTCTGTATTAAAGTTACCGAAAATGCTAAAATACTATGAGGAGAAGTGATGTGCCTATGTCTACGTCATATAATAAGATATACTACCATTGTCTTATTCTTGAGTTGTTTAGCTGCTCACTGATTACGGGAATTTTTGGGATTTTTAAGAAGTAAATAGTAAATGATGTTAATTTATCAGCACATCCTTTGCCTTTCTTTGTGCAAAATCTATATAAACCAGATATTGCTTCTGATGTTGTACTTTTGTATTGTTGAAATTACGAGTTTAATAATTTTGTATAAACTTCTTCTGTTGCAGCTTACTTTCACTTGTATATTACCTGTAACTTATGTATTTTATCTGCGGCAGAGAGTTGCACAACTTGAGGTATGTTTCATGGCTTCAACCCTATTTTGGTTCTTGGTTTGACATTCTCTATAGCAGTCTCCCTAATAATCAATTATGCTGCTTTCAGGAATGGTGTACCGAAAAAGATATCAGTTCAAATAGCAGCTTTAGTCTTTTTCTGGCTGAGAAGAATCCCTTTTTTTTCCATTTTGCTAATGCTGAAAGAAGAACTGTTGCTTTGTATGCTGTGGTCATTATACTTACTATGCCAATTGCATTGTACAAACATCTTGATTATCTTTCCCAAATAAGGAATCTCTCAAAAAGGATGAAGAGTAACGAAGAGGAGGTTCCCATAAAGAAGAGGATTGCATATATGGTGGATGTGTGTTTCTCTGTCTATCCATATGCGAAACTGCTTGCGCTTCTGTTTGCAACAATATTTCTTATAGGGTTTGGTGGATTGGCATTGTATGCAGTCAATAAAAATAGCTTTGCTGAAGCTCTTTGGCTCTCATGGACTTTTGTTGCCGATTCTGGAAACCATGCCGACACAGTAGGCCTTGGGCCAAGGATAGTTTCTGTCTCTATAAGTTCAGGAGGCATGCTAATATTTGCAATGATGCTTGGGCTTGTTTCTGATGCTATATCAGAGAAGGTTGATTCACTGCGGAAAGGGAAGAGTGAAGT